GAAAAACCTGTAAATCTGCTTCCCGGGAAGAGAGACATTGCTGAATTGTCATTTGCCTTCAGCATACAGAAAACATCAATTTCATTGCAGCTCATCGGAGTTGGAAACACCTGCCACTTCCTTTCTCAGTTGCAATTAACATGCTGCATCTCAGCATTGATTGATTCCAAGCAACCTAACACTGCCAAAGTCAAGGTTTAAATGAAACTGTACAACCTGATATTATTGTTCACAGTTTAAGAAATATGGACTTCTCTTCACTGTCAACAGAGCACTACAATCATTAGGGATACGTTTCTATGCTTGAGAAAGGGTTGATGCTTATAATAGAAGTATCCTTTTATCTCTATATTTATTTGGGAGAGTTTAGCAGAAGGCTAGGGAGCTCTGGTAGCGTAGTGGCAGGGAACTGCACTGCAAATGCAAAGGTAGATAGTTGGAATCGACCAGGTGCTCTGGAGGAGAAAGATGCAGTCTCCTCCCATATGATTTAGTGCCTCTGAAAACCCACTGGAGAATCAGCTGTGGGTCAGTTCTGACTCAATGGTACACAACAAGTGGAAGGCTAGTATTTTCTGCATCCCAATACCTAGCACATAGCTACAAAATCAAAAGACATTCTGGGAAAGTTTGCTGAACAAGAGCATCATTGAAAGACTGTTTTGGAACTACAAGCTGAAGAATGGTCTCTGTATCCAGCCTACATAAAATTCTGAACTTGTAACTACTTTAAAATGTTTTACTAAATTCAGAAATTGTGTGCAAAAGACTATGAAATAAGACCTTATGCTGATGTTCATGTCCATTCAGAATCCTAAATTTGCAACCATGTCTGCACATGAAAGTCTTGTGGAGCCAGACCACTTTCATCCTCTGACAACTGATATTTACAATAGTTTTTGTTGAAGATCTTAGAACATTGTCAGGTGTGAATAAATGTTGTTGTTATGTGCCATCGAGTCGTTTGCGACTCATAGCGACCCTATGTATAACAGCCCTAAACCGTGCTCTATCCTGTGCCAATCTCATTGCCTCTGACACACCCATCCCGATTACCCCAGTCACTGAATCAATCCACCTCATAGAGGGTCTTCCCCTCCTGCGCTGTCCCTCTACTCTACCCAGCATGATGTCCCTCTCTAAAGACCTGTCTCTCCTTACAACATGTCCAAAGTAGGTCAGATGAAGCCCCAGAATCCTTGCCTCCAAGGAGCAGCCTGGTTTAACCCTCTCTAGGCTGAATCTGTTTGTTTTCTTGGCAGTCCATGAATAATTTTAAATAGCACAAGATTTACAATACTTGTGCCTCCTTTGGGAGAATGATAGCGGAATTGTTTTTATGTGCTGGGAAAACAGAAAGCAACAAACGCAGAAGATTGTAAGTATGAGGTCTGAGTTTTACCCTGGCCAAGACTGAACCTAAACCACAGCGTGTAGTCATGGGAAGAGAACGTGAACACACTTCTTCTCTCATCTTTTTCTCTTATTAAAAGAATACTAGATATAAGAACCACCTTCTTGCTTGTGCCTGTAGGAAATATCTTCCTTTTGCATGGAAACAAATTAAAATAAGTGGCAATTAATTCTTTTGCACAATAGCAGCCAGACACTATGCATTTGAGTCTCAACTGTTCTATATACACAGCAACACAGGTATACTTTTATGTAAATGACAGAAAAGATGGGACTTGAATAATTCTGAACACTCCAGAATGAAAATTAAATTTATATCTCTTCCACATACCCATAACCTTATCCCAAATGTCTGATGGTTGACTAACACCATAAATCTTTAATACTGTACAGTTCACTTTCTCACACAACTGGGTTACAGTAATGCACCACATAACATCCATTTGGGCAACATCCAACCATGTACATGACCTTGGTCCCACAAAACTATAATTAAGTTTAGACTTGTTCCCTAATGGTAGAATGGGATATTATCTAACATAATAGCTTCCTGCACAACCATCCTTAGAAAGAAAGAAAAGATTCTCCAAGCTGTTCAGGATTGTTGTTGTTATGTGCTGTTAAGTTGCCTGCGACTCATAGCAACCCTATGCATAATAGCCTTGAACCCTGCTCTATCATGTGCCAACTTTATTCTCTGACACACCTACCTTCATTATCCCACTCACTAAATCAATCCATCTCAGCAATGGTCTTCCTCTCTTTCTCTGTCCTGCCACCCTTCCAAGCATGATATCCCTCTCCAAGGACTGGTCCTTTCTTTCTAGCAACATGCCCAAAGTATGTCAGCAGAGGCCTCAGAATTCTTGCCTCCAAGGAGCAGCCTGGTTTTACCCTCTTTAGGACAAACCAGATTGTTCTCCTAGCAGTCCATGGTATAGTCAACACTCTTCCCCAGCACCACAGCTCAAAGGTATCAATTCTCTATCATCCCTAATTGTTGTCCAGCTCTCTGACACATAGCAAGCAATTATGAAAACTGTGACCTGGATCAGGCACACCTTAGTCTCCAGACTGAAGTCATTGCTCTTCAGTACTTTGGAGAGGTCCCTGACAGCTAACTTTCCCAATGCAATTTGTCTCTTGATTTGCTGGCTGCTGGTACCAAGAGTGTTGATTGGAGAGCCAAGCAAACTAAAATTGTTAACTATCTCAAGCTCTTCACCATATATCATAATGCTGCCAAATGGCCCAGTGGTGAGAATCTTTATCTTCTTAATTAATGTTGAGCTTCAATCCGTATTGAAGGCTGCAGTCCTTGACCCTCTGCAGCAAGCACTTCAGGTCCTCCTCAGTTTCAGCAAGCAGGGTTGTGTCATCTGCATAACACAGGTTGTTGATGGATCTTCCTCTAATCCTGGTGCCTCATTAGCTTCAATGAAAGCCAGAAGGCTAAAAAAAAAGGTGAGGGATTTTCACCAGACATGGAGAACTTGCTAATGACAGATTGAGGACCAAACACAAATAGTCCTTCTTCACACACTGGTGATCATTGCTAAGACATGAAGCTTCCTCAAGATGCTTGAAGGAAAAGCAGGACCAGGCTTTGATATGGTGTTCATACAACACCCAAATCATATAACATTCCATGAATATTTAAGTATCTCAGACATTACAAAGCATATGACAGTATTTGTATATGAAATAGCTTATATACCAGTATCTGAGCACTAACTGGTCTTCTTCAAGGGCTAACACAGGAAAACCACAATTATGAGGAAATCATATTAATAATGTCCATTATACATACAAATAAATAAAATAGATAAATAGCCAGAAATGGAATATATCTATCTATCTATTCCCTAGACCCTTGGAAAAAGAAGAAATCAGGTACTTGAAGGCCTGATCCTTCAAAAAAGGAGAGAAAAAAAGGATAGAAAAAAAAGAACATAACCTTTAAAGCCTGGCAAGCCAAGGAAAAATTGTGTTTAAATAACACCCAGATGCTGGCTGATTTAGAGGAAAACAGTCATACTTCTAATTACTACTTGTTGTTGTATAGAAATGGCATCTCACACAGGAGCGGCTCATGGGTAAACTTCTATTTAGTTAAGCTGGGTCTCAAGTCAGAGCCAACCATTAACAAAGCACCTTTTGTCTAATGATACCTTTTAACACTTGCAGAAAGGAGAGAGAAATGAGAGGTCAGGCACACGAGTTCATCAGTCTCTCTCTTATCTATAACAGATCAGACCCTCAAAATAATCCCGTTTGAGAGAAGACAAATATTTATGGCCATAGATTACCATTTTTAAATCTCTCATTTCATCCTCACATAAAACCAATCAAAACATCCCAGAGAGTCCCATTGTCAGTGTACAAACTCCATTTGCCTGCTTTCTTTTCACATTTAAAATGACCTTAAAGAAAGGAAGAGAAAAAAAAAAAAAAAGAAAGAAACAAACCAATGAAATCAACAGAAAACCACCATGAACCTTTCTGGGATTGGTCAATGGGATCGTTGCACAGGCAATGCCTGTGTCCTTGTCCCACATAGTTCCTGGGCAACCCCAGAGAGATGTCAGCTCCCACCCCTCTGTGTGGCGTAAGAAGACCACATCTGAGGAGGAAATTCTCTTTGTACCACTTATGTGTTTGATTTTAGCAGCAGCAGCAGCAACAACATCACCAATATTTCATCAATAATGGGAAGACATTCCCTCTTCATGCCACCAACAGAAAGAGACTTCAGAAGTAAGCATTTTCTAAAAATGCTTTTCATTCTCTTCCAGGAGCCATAATAGGAATGTTCAGGGAACAAAAAAAAAAAGAGTCTAAGCTAATAATAAAGGAAAGGGTTTCCTCCCCCTTCGCTCTTTCCCCCCCCCCAAAGTAAAATTAAAGCTCAAATGTTCTACTAAACTCTCATTGCTTATGTATATTATATTAAGGCTTATAAGCACGCCTGAGAAATTAAATTGATCCTGGATTGAATTAACACCTGCTATATGAGCTATTTGCTTTATGTAATCAGTAATCTCAAGATTTCTTCTCTTTCTCTGGAAACACAATTTAAATATTAACTTAATCTTTAAACTGCTGCTGCTGCTTGCTGACATTTGGAAGCCGGTCATCCATGTTAAAGGGGGCAGGAGGGAGAAAGAAAAGGCAAATATGGACATATTTATGAAAAAAGCCGCTTCTTGAAAATCTCGAGATGTGTAACTCAATGAATTGGGCACAAAATTATCCAAGCAGCAGGAGAGTCAAATCTCTGCGTCACTTTCTGGGGAAAACAATGCTGGTCAGCTGCCAAGGACACTTTCAATTTGAGAGGCCTACTGACTCGGTTGCCAAATTCAAAAGAGTCTTTGTATTTTCTTCATTAAAATCTTTGGAAGGATCTTGGGCAGCAGTGGTATATATGAGGGCATTTTAATATGTCTTAAAAATTGCAGGCGAGTATAATTTAAGATCTAGGTCGGCTACACGTTGCAGCGCGAACTAAACGAATGTGAGGTATCCTTGGCTTGATGCACCAGTCCGGGGCTCGCCAAGAGGGAGAGCAACACCCCTGGATTTGTTCAAGTCCTGCTCAGCTGGTAGCCCCTGGGGAACATGAAGCTTTCGAAGTGCTGGTCCTCAGCTTTTTCTTTGACGCGTTGTTCCTCTAAGGAGTCCACGAGTTTGTCCCTCTGCTCAATCACTTGCATCATCTTGTTGAGTATTTCCTGCTCCTCATTTCGGTCATTCTCATCTTTCTGGCTCTCTAAAGAAAAACAGAAAACCAGGGGACCTCGGATTAGATTTGACCCAGGAGAGTTCTTGGCGTGGGCTCTCCCGGTTGTTATGAACTTGTTCTGCCCTTTAATTTCAATGGAGGAAACAGGGAAGTGAATGGAACACGAAGAAACTGCCTGAAAAGACACAGCTTAGAAGAGGGGGGTGGGGTTGTTGCTTTGTGCTGCAATCAGCTCAGTTTTCATCTTGAGGGTATAGAGAAAGCAAGAGGGGGGGAAACCTTTGAGAGAGAAAGAATACCAGCCGAGCTGTACCAAGCTGCCACCCTGTGACTGTCTACTCCCACGCCCCCCCCCAAAAAACCCACCACAACAATGAAAGGGCTGTTTGCCATACGAATATACAAACCACAGCAAGGAAATCTGTGATAAAAGCTTCTAGTAAACAATCCACATCAGAGGTTACTGTTTGAACGAGGGTCCTTTGTTCATCTGTAGTTAATAAGCAGAAACCACATGACTGTCCACTAGGCTGTCCAGACTGGATCCAGACTGTCACTGTGTTTTCTGCCTTTCTGGGTGCATGACTGTCTTCCTAGTTGGCCTTAGGCATTGAATTACCCGCAGAGAGATGGGATTGTTATAAAAGGAAACAAAAAAGAAACAGGAAAGAATGAATTTCTGACATGCAAGATGTCATTTTTAAAGCCAGATGTAGGCTGAGAAAATCAGATTACTATTTCAGGAGAGGGCTTCCTCACTTCCTTGAGTCCCTTTTATTTAACAAACCAAGGGCCAGGCAGTGAGCCAGGTGATCGAGGAGCGAAAGTGTCACACTGCCTGTCACGGGGCTGAAGCTGGAGTCACCAGCAAGTGGGGAGAAGTGATGGAAGGGAAGGGAAAGGAGCTCCAGGTCCTTTGTTCCTCATACTGCTGGCAGAGAGAGGCAGAAGAGGTGGGCAGTGAGGGCCTGTCCTTCTGAGTGTCCATTCACTCTCTCCTCTCTCCCAAAGGGGCCACCAGTTACTGTGGAGTCAATTCTGTCCCACGGTGACCTCATGCGTGGAAGAGGAGAGGCATGCTCCTAGGGTTTTCAACAGCTTGTTTTTCAGGAATAGATTATCTGCACTTTCTTCCAACTTTGAATTTCCAAACTTAGGTTTGTGTTTAGCAGCTGAACACGTTAGCATTCATGTCACCCAGGGATTCCTCCGAAAGGGCAAAAATGTCTGTTATCATGTAACAGGAACCCTCAGGCTAAAGGGCTCCTGCTCTGAGCCTCATTTAGAGCTGTGGGAAGGCTCACCTAGAAGGTCACAAATAAACCCCATGGTAGGCAGAAAGGACCCCAGTGTGGCTCTCTAACACAGCTGCTGTGTGGCACAGATGAAACGAAGAAACGTCCACTTGCTCCAGTCCACACAGGGTCTCACAAAGTCACCCAGCTAGTGGGCAGCCCCAGGATGATGTGTGAAGTGACCACAAACTAGAGACTAGATGGTAGACTGTCTGTGTACAGTGAAGACAAGTGAGCTTCGGAATGCCAGTAGGCTCCGCACAAGTCAAGAAAATGAACAAGGTACAAAGTACCCTAGCTCTACACCTTAACTACAAACGTGGATGGGCTACTGCTCTATGGGGACTCAAGGAATCGGAGCACACATCCGGATTCCTAATGCCACAAGGTCACCCAAACCTACCTCTCTCCATTAAAAGCAGAATGAAGGGGCAACCCATTTGTGAGAGTGAACATTCTATCCCGAAGAGACTGAGCATCTCCTATAGGGAATATTATTTAAACTATTGCATCAGGCTAAGTTTATCAGAGAGGGATAAATAAAGCTCCCCCACCCCTTGTAACAAGTGGAAGGAAGTTTACGTGCAAGATGAACTCAGGTCTGAATACAGGCAAAATGAAGATGCTACCTTTTTTTTGTGTGTATCTGAAGAGAGTGAGAACTTTATTTACTCCTTTGTAAGAAAGTCCTTACCAAAAACAAAACCAAAGGTAGTTAATGGATTCTCTGATGATAACTATATCACCATTCTGGGAAAGGGCAAATAAAACATTTATTAGATATACAAATTAGGTTTTGGTTTATAATTTAAGTATATTACAATGCTGGTATGTCTAATTTAGTAAGCAACACAGAAAAAAAAATTCTTTTCCCAGTTTAGGTTAGTCATACATGGATCCATCCAGACTAGTCTAACAACAAAAAGACCATGTACTTCACTTTTCTTTGTTATATGTATTGTGACACTGTTATTGTTGTGTACCATCAATCAAGTAAAAACTGATCCATAGCTGACCCTCCACGGGGTTTTCAGAAGCAGTAAATCACACAGAAGCAGACTGCCTATCCGTCTCCCATGGAGCAGCTGGTGGATTTGAGCTGCTTAACTTAGGGTTGTCAGGGTAATTCCTTACCACTAAGCCCACGGTGCTCTGTAATGGGACATTATAAAGCTTTTATTAGAAATAAAACAGTAGTGCATAAAGAAACAGTCTGCAGTACATTAATGTGTATAGAATATCTGCCTTGAGTGTGTGCTCTTTTATGAACTGTCTATTTGGGATCAAACTGACCACAGCAAATCAAAAGAGTAGGCTTGCTGTGCCCGTGGTGAGTGGGCAGAAGGCTGGCTGTGCACTCATCTCTGACCATTGGTGGTGGAGAGGGTGGGAAGAGCATCCTGGGATGCCCTGCGCGCTGCTTAAGTTTCCTTGAGTGGGAAATCGTCATTAGCAAGGACTCCAAACATGTGGCCATACTCACCCTCCTTGAGCATTTTCTCTCTTAACTTCTGCTCCAGTCGGCTTTGATGATCTTCTAATTCTAGCTCTTGGGCCCTGAGTATAAGAAAACGTGCAAACTTTTAAAATAGTCTCAGTATGTGGATAAACACAGAACAATACTCTTATTGACAGTAGCTGCATTCTTTTTTCCCCTGGTAAAAACTGGAGTAATTCCTTGAATAAAAGTGTTGTCGGTTCTGAAGAAGCCTCTGAGGACCGCTGTGTATGCTGAACTCAAGAGATGGTGAGGAGCGGCAGAGGGGCCCCCTGGTGGTGAAGGCCGGACACAGCGATTAGTGAAGAAGCTACAGTGGTCAGTGGTCCAGGGGGAAGCAATGAGCATCTGAAAACTCCCTTTCAGGGACAACACAACTTCAACTATCATGTTTCATCACTCCCAAATCCCTAATCATGGGTCCAAGAGAGTGCAAAAGAAGTAGGGAACAGGAATAAGAAATTGTATATGGAGTACTGGTGGTAGGAGCCTTCAGGCCACCATGCAGTTCTGGAACCGTAAGAGGCAAAAGCAAATCACAGGGTTGGTGGGTAGAGGGAGGGGGTAAAGGAAATGGGAAAAATATGGCAGGGACCTGAAAAGACAGGGTGATGGATGGGTGAGCAGAGTCCAACAGTGATAAATGTTATAAAACACAATGTATGGGAATCATTGTATCATTGTATGAAACATAATGTCAATGAAGGAAAGTGTGTGTGTGTGTGTGTGTGTGTGTGAATCTGAATACTAAAAAAAAAAGGAATTGTGCAGGAAGAGGCTCGGTCTGTGGTGCAGCCCTGAGGAAGGAGCCTGATGGGTGCTATGTTTACAGGGGATGGAAACAGAAGAGGCAATGTTGCACTGGAGCAGTGAAGCCCGAGAGCTGGCAACCCACTCTGTCTGCAGATTAGGAACAGTAAACTTAAGAAGGGAAAGTAAGATGGCCCATGGTGGAGGTCAGGCTGGAAATGCTACAATTAGCAATGCTTAGGGTAGGTCCCGTTTATATACAGAATGTAAGATAGAGTATCCCTTGGGCTGGTTCATTTAGTAATATAGGAAAAAGTTCCCCAAATACTTGGTAATGTTGCTGGTGTTCTTAGGAAAAATGACTACCACAAATACATAAGGGAGTTGTCAGATGTGACAGGTGAAGTCATGTTATCTCTGAAACAGAGACCACACAGAACGATCTTCCTACAGAACCAAGGGAATGTCTACATTAACAAGTCCAACAGAAGAAATGGAGCCAGGGAAGAAGCAGTCAAAATAAAAAACCAAGAAGTGCAACATCGTGGATACCATGATAAGAGAGAAGTGGGCCAAGTATTCAGATACTGAAGAGGGGAAGGACTGAAAAGAAGCTTCACCTGGGGTTGACAGGGTACCACCCTGTCTCAGCCCACCCTGCAGTCTGCATGTGCTTTTTCTCTGACAGCTAGAGCCATCTCCTATCCCCTGCTCTATTTTCACTACCACTAGAGCCATGGTTCCTATCTTGTTCAATATTCTCCATTTTCTGAGCGACACTGAACTTCTCTTGATCCACAGTGGCAGATGATGGATTTCTCCTTTAAGAGAACTTTCTGCCAGAACTACACTTGGTTGGCTGCTGTTGCTGGAGAATCTGTCTCAATGTTCAAGCACTGGTCAGCTCTGAGCCAGTGATGGGGCACAGCAGAGACATTCCCACTCAACATGGGACTCCCTTGAAATACAAACTGTGCTCTGAGGCTCCCCAGCAGGCTGGCCCATGACATTCTCAGGGCTGCATTGGAATCTGAGGCAGCTTCTGCTCAATTCTCCTTCCCCACCTCACCTCTCACAGGGACCAGAATTGCACTGTAGTCTGAAAGTTTCACTCTCTCTTAATCCCTTTCTCCTTCACAGGCATGGCTCCCATAAAATAGCTTGTTTAATTCTTTCTTGATGCCTGTTTCCCAAAGAGTCTATCTGTATTGCTAGACTTATCTAAGATGTTTCTCCTTGTTCATCCAGCTCTTTCTCCAAACTTCGATCTATTTTTTAACAGCACTCCCATCTGCCTTTGTGTAGTTCACAGAGCTGGCTGGATTCTCCTCTTTGGCCTCCTTTGGAGGAGTGGCGTCCCCTGCCTGTCTTGGGGAGACCCTCTGCACTGCATATACTCCTCATAAACACCTCCACGATTTGTTATCATACACTGGCCTCCTGTCTCCCTCGTACCTCTACTTCTGTCTGCCTTTGTGGGGCCCCATCATTGACTCTGGCTGAGTGGAGACTGTATGCTTTCTGCATGAGCACGGAGATGATTTCTAGGGCTCTAGAGCGAGAGACCAGGACTTTAGTCATATTTATTTAGTCCCACAGAAACTAGCAAAAGGCCTGGAACACAGAATTCTTCTTAATAAATTTTTCTTGAATGAACTTTTAAAATTTCTGTCCTGACCCAAATGCAGACAGTATGGCTGCATAAAAAGGGTTTTCTCATCAGATGGACATGATCAAATGACTTAGGTGTGTGGGGACTCTATATTCAGAAACCTTAAAAATACTGAGAAAACAAAACCTATCACTGCCCATTCCTGATGAAGCCTCATTAGTGTAATTCCTGGGCTCATCCCCCAGCCCTAACCATTATTCACTTCTACCCACCAGGCAAAACCAAACCCACTGTTGTCCAGTGGTTTTGACCCAGAGTCCCTACAGGACAGACCAGAACTGCCTCACAGTGTTTCAAAGGCCATCCATCATTACAGAAGTAGACTGCCACATCTTTGTCCCGTGGAGAGCTGGTGGGTACAAACTTCTGACTTACTGGTTGAGAACAGAGCGAACCATTGTGCTATGAGGGATCTTTACTTTTACATCATAAGAGGTCATCTTGGGAAGAACAGATGGGGTAAACTCAGCTCACTCTTCCCTTTCTCCTCCTGAGAGCAAACTGTAGAACATGTGATCTTAATTACATCCACCTTAAGCTAGGCCTAGGGAAAGGTTTCTCAACCTTGACACTATGTGTGCTGGGAACTAATTCTTTGTTTGGAGGTTGGGGTGTGCACTGTAGGATGATTAAGAGCATCCTTGGCTAGTTCTACAAATTAGAGGCCAAGAGTTTCCCTCCTCAGTTGTGACAGAGTTGCCTCCAGTTGAGAACCATTTGGCCTAGGGTCTTTGAAGGAATGCATTAGGTGAGTCTACTGCCTTTGTGATTACGTCAATAAATCTCAATTCTAAGGTGTTGTTAGTGCAGTGAACTGAATGGTAACCCCCTAAAAGCTATGCCCACATCCTAAAGCTGAGAACTCAAGAATGTCATAGATAACTCTAGTTGTAGCTAAGGGTCTTGAGATGAAACCACACTGGATTTTTCTGGTGGGCTTTAAATTCATTAACAAGTACCCTTATCAGAAACAGAAGAGGCGAAGACAGAGGCACAGAGAGGAAGATGATGTAAAGATGGGGGCAGAGACTGGACAGAGGCAGCCCAAAGCCAAAGCCTAGGCTGCTGGACACTGGAGAGGCCAAGAGGCGCTCTGCCTTAGAGTCTTTGAAGGAGTGTGGCCTTGCTGACACGTGATTTCAGACTCGGGGCCCCTGGAACCAAAAGGGAAAAACTGGTTGTTGCAAGCCACCCAGCTTGTGGTCGTTTGTTGCAGCAGTCCTAGGAAACTAATACCATTCGCAAACTCACTTGGGCTCCCCACTAAGCCAAGCTAGCCGTTATCAGTAATAAAGGTGATATTTTGATGTTCTTTCTCTTGAGTCAGTAGTCTTATTTGCCACCTGGTTCAGAACACAGGCAGGGGAGGGGTAAAGTATTTATTAGAATCCCAGAATTACCTCTAAGAGTCAGGACAAAACGAAATGGGGTTACATAAGAGCAAGCCCCCACCTGGCTGTTCCTAACTGTTAATGTAGTTCCCTCCAGACAGGCAGCGTGTATCCAGACCTTCAACATTTTGAGAGTGTGCTGAGAGCCATCTGCATTTTCTGATCTCAGTATCAGGCTTCAGCTACTCATTTAGAGCAGACAGACAGACAGATGGCCCTCAGTCCTTCCCTTTGCTAAAGCCACAAAGGAGTGACCAGGACAGCCTCCCTTTACACGAGCCACCTTTGAACTCATCTCTCCCCTCTGTGACTGCTCTTTTAACACAGGTCTGGGGACAAGGCTGAATTGACAAGAACTTCTCTAAATGCCTGACAGCTCCAGACCCATTACCTGCAATCTGTATGAGCCCAAGGACTCCACAGAGAGAACAGACAACCGAGTCACTGTACTAATGCCAGCATTGCATGCAGGACACAAACCAGAAATTTGCCTCAATCACCATTCTGTATGCACGAGGAGAGAGAGAGAGGAGGGGAAAAAAAATTCTGGGACTTCAAGGTGGGAGGGGAGCCCCGCACTCCCACCCTTTGCCTGGGGACTTGCTATCTGCGTTGTCTTACTTACGTGATCAGCAGCTCCGACTCATATCGCGTTAATTTATTCTTCTCCAGAACCAGCTTAAACCATTCCTGCAAAAGCTGTGCTTCGTCGTGTGTGCCTGAATCTGTTTAAGACATCAACAGCAAATGGGTTAGATTGGTGTTTCTCTCCCTGCGATCAAGCTGCTTTGGAGCCACTTTAACAGGCCGTGTCTGCAGCAGAAAAGACCAGCAAACCACAGCTTCCCGATGCCCTGTCGATGCCTTGAGGCTGCGGGAATGACAATAAAATCCCACTCTGTACACTCTGTGGGGAGTTCTCCTTGGACCTTCGGGACATAAATACTCCAGTTCCTGGATCATCATCTTGATAAAGCCATGTCACAAGTGATCTTTCTTCTGCCTACTTGTTTGTCCCTCATAGAATGTTTCTGTGTTTATGCATCATAATCTCTGCAAAGAAACCCCAGTTCCTGTAACTGTCTCCTCCTCCCCCACACTGAATGCCAGTCTAGTTCCCAGGTGGCCCAAGACTCTTGGGAGGTAAGAAAGAGTGGTGGTGCTTGGCATTTTCATTTTTGCATAAAGAAATGCCAAATTATAAAGCAAATACATGGAGGTGGGGCAGGATCCAAATCATTTGGCTGTAAGTCAGTTCAGACTCATGACAACCATACAGCTGTAGAGTGGAACTCCATGGCGTTTCCAACACTGTGGCCTTCTGAAAGCAGATCACCAGGCCTTTCTTCCTATGTGCCTCTGTCCAGGTTCAAGCTCACAGCCTTTCGGTTAGAAGCTGAACACTTCACCATTATCATTATCAATTCTGAAGACTTAGAGTATAAACCTTATTAACAAGAATTAACCATGAGAATATTAACACTGTCATTCAGATACTAACAAGCTCTTGTGGCTGAGTGGGTAGGGAGTGGCACTGCCAACCCAAAGGCAGGTGGTTCAAATCCACCAGCTGCTAAACAAGAGAAACATGAGCAATCTCCTCCCCTGTGACTAAAAACCTACTGGAGGGTCAGCTATGAGTCAGTGCTAACTTGATAGAAACGAGTTTCTGAGGGTTTTAAAAAAAATATTAAATATTAGATAGCAAATGTCTAGATGCTAAACATTAAAATCTGGGCTTATTTAAGAAGGAGCAACATGGAGGTGGCTTTCTAATATTTTACTCAGCAATGAGAACAAATGACTATGGTCCACCTACAAGGATTTACAGAGCAGAACCCACAGACAGAGGAAAACAACACAGATGCAAGACTTGGGTGACCTTGGCCAAGTTGCTTCGCCTCTCTGAGCCTTTGCTTCTTGATCTGTTCAACCCGTAACAGCTTACCAGGCAACAGTATAATAAACAATGCACTTCCCTGCTGATGGAGAGGCTATGCACTTTAGATGCAGCGTTTCATTTAATCCTCTAAACAAACTAAAAAACAGATGCTTGTAGTACCTCCACTCGATAACTATAAAATTGGAGGCTTAAAAGAGGAAAATAACTGCCCAAGTTCACAGTAAGTGGCAGAGCTAAGACTTGAATGAAGTTTGCTAAGGTAAGCCTGGTCTTCACTGCCATATGTAGGTGCTCTCTCCCCCTCCTCCCAGTCCTATAAGCTAAGAAATGCCCCTCCACACTGCTGCACATAGAAGCAATCCGTAAGAATCACTTCCCGTTTCTCCCTGTGTTCTTGACCAACTTTTTTATTCATAAAGAAACTGGTATCCAAAGAGATGTATATAGTGTCTCAAATTATAGTTAGTGAGCAAACTGGTACTAAAATGCAGATGTTAAAAAAATGCAGATGTTGTGCTCACTTCGGCAGCACATATACTAAAATTGGAGCGATACAGAGAAGATTAGCATGGCCCCTGCGCAAGGATGACATGCAAATTTGTGAAGCATTCCATATTAAAAGGAAAAAAAATGCAGATGTTGACTTCTGGAGCATTCATTCAACAACACGTATGAATACCCCTGCCTCCCCACCCTTCTGCCCCTTGTGTCAAATACTGCTTCAGATCCTGGAGATACAGTGGGGTGGAGAACACTAGCCCTCCTAGTCTCCTATCCGATTCAATTTCTTCTTGGAGATATTTGCTTTAGATTTCTGGAGTGAGGATAATTTTCCTTGATAGAGAAAACAGACGAGCTGGGAGTTGAAGATTCTGCCTTTCCTCATCATGTAACATTACACCACCTGCCACAAGCTCTGCACCTATCTTCTTCTCCTTGTTAATCCAAAAGAAACCGCTTTAAAGCACTGTCTCGCTCTCTTTAAGAGTTTTCTGTGCTGTTTTGATTCAGACTTTGCTGAGATACAGTATGCCACTGTTCTAGCTGGAATTCTATCCTGGCTTACAGGTCTCATTTTCAGCGGTGCTTATGTGGCCTTCTAAACTCTGATCTGTTGGAAGGCTCCTGGTGCAGCTGCTTTGATTTTGACTGACACTGTCCTCAGCAAACACAGGTTGAATAAAGTCAACTTCATTTTCTTTTTTCAAGGGGCTATTTTTCAATTCTGTAGTCTAGAATTCATGTTTTACCATCTCCTTTTTCTTAGTAGTCAAAATAACTTTTGGGGAATCTTTGGACACAGTTCTAGGAATCTGTCTTCCTGAAGTGCTGAGTACCAGCGTTGCCCTGCTATGAATTCCAACAATTTTCTGTACCCACCAGAAAGCTTCCTTGAATGAAGATGAGACCCCTGTTGACTCTTCACCACTGATGTCGTCCAGTGAAGTGGAAAGACTATGAACAGACCTGGTTCTGCCACTAACGTGACCTTGAACAAGTCATCTCACTTCTCCCCATGCCAGCCTTCTCTGATACTAAAGATTAATGCATATGTCAAAATTGATGCTAAGGATTAAATGAGATCATGCATATGAAATATATCCCATAATACCTGGCATACAGAAAACATTCAATACATTGTACCACTGTTATTGAGTATTACATTGTAGTTTCTGCTATTAAGCCTGGTTTGGGCATTACTTTCTGTTCACTTTTAAAACTAAGCTAGATTTGATACTTGGCTGAACTTCGTTTTGCAGCCTAACTGAAGGTTGACAAAACTATGCAATAATGACTCTGGTTTTTGGCTTGGTGTAGATGAAACGCTATATGGCTGGCTGGCTCATCAGCTCTTGCTTGGGAAGACTTGAGCATTATTTGTATACACAGATTGCTTGCTAACCATCTCTCCATCTGCGCCTGTCGCTGTTTGCTGAGAGCTCTTCCAGGGCAGGGCTATGACTTGTAGATCTGGCACAGGAGGCGGCTAGAATGGTGCAGCCAGGCAGCGAGTAACCCCTTTTGTGTCCACTGCTGACTCATCCTCCATTCATCCGTGTGCCCTCATATCATGGTTTTCTTAGACCAAATGAATGGATTCCACTTGCAAGGTGAAATAAAGCAATCAAAACTCAAAACAAAACTCTTCCATTAATGGGGTCATTTAGATGCAAAGTAATCTCTCAAAAATGCAGAGCAAAGGATGCCACTTTTCTACTGAAGTTCTTCAATATACCTCATATATTACTTTAGTAATTCCCTGATTGTTTTATAGAGTGATTAGCCAATATAACCTTTAATCGTCAAGGTTTATTTCCCTAAATGATAACAACAGGGAATAAACCATCTATTTATTAAAATCATGGCATTAAAGCATGCTCTTCTATAGGTGATGTGGAATGAATACTTCTCCCTGGGCACCGGTGAGTGGTTTCTCCAGGTTGGGTCTTGCTTTACTGTGGGCTTCACGAATGATTCTTTGATGTGGTTTCCTACTTCCTTAGAACGTGTGAGAAGGTCTAAATCAGCGTTTGCTGCAGTTCTGTAAATGCACTCAGACCCTCAGCAATTACCTGGGTGGGGCATTAGAGAAATTGTAGCCAAAACACTTGAGCAGCACAAAGGGAATCCTCCCCTGCTGCACACATGCTGGTCAGCTATCTGACAACGGCCACAACCACTGAGAGGCAGGGCTGATGCTGACTCAGGGTGGCCATTAGTGTCCCGGAGCACACCTGTGCGCCAGCAGGTTTCCAAGTGGATTTTTTTAAAGTTGATCATTAGACTTTTCTTCCAAGACTCTACTGGAATGGTTCGATCCTCCACAATCTATTCACTCTCTCATTATTGGATAGTCTTGGGGATTTTTGGTATTGTGGATTATGCCATTTATAACAACAATCATTATAAACATTTTTGTATCTGTCTCCTGACCCATTTGGACAAGACTTTCCCTGGTTTTATATATATTTATATTTTCTATATTTATTTGTTTTTTT